CCCCAGCAGTATCAATGAAGTCAGAGTGGTTTGCATTGCTCCACTGAAAAAAACCAAACAAATCTAGATGTAAACCCAAACTAGACATATAAAAGAATCCAGTTGAAAAAAAATCTGAATGAGCACCAAATACTGAATGTTATCCACTTGGACAAATCTATACAGTCGAAGAAACTATCTTAATTGTTTTAGGACATACAAATTTCTGACTAGGATGAGCTTACCCTTCCCACCTTTTGGAAATTTAGTTCAACAACTTCTGTGACTTTCAGAACTAACCTAATTCAGTCCCAAGGGGTCATCCTTTCTTTGCTAAGTGCCTTTTTAATATCATACTCGCAGGAGAAAGGAGCTTGAGAATCCACCTCTCCTATTACTATCCTTTAAGCTGTAGGGTTCCACTGTATTTCTCCTAATCACAACAAAGTCAGCCTCATACCCACCACAGAGCTGATACTCACAAAGGCAGAGTTGATGCTATCCACAAAACTTTCCTCATCCATAGCGAGAAGTTCCGATGCATGCTCATGAGATGTAGACCAGACCAGAGAGCTGGCAGTGTCAGACAGCTAGTTTAAAAGAATGTCATGGGTAAGTATCAAGAGAAGAAGCAGCAAAAATAAACGATCAGCGCAAAGATTTCCCCACTGCCCTGCCCCACACCAGTCCCTCTGCACATTACTCTTCCAGCCCAACTTGCTGCAAGTGGGAAATACCAGCGATAAGGTGAGAGGGCAGGAGGGAAAAACAAATGCAATAACTGAAAAGTAAAGAGCAGATGAACAAGTTCTTAAGAGACAGAATTAACACAGAAAGGCACAGACAGAAATAAAGTTACAAGGAAAGAACAGACCAAAAACAAAAAAAGTTGATGGACCACAGGTCATCTTACCGGAAGGAGTGCAATTGGCCCTGTGGGAAGGAACCTCTGCCATGCTACATTATTGTCTGTGGCCTACAGTGGAAAGAAGCAAGTGGACAGTTATGAAGTAGTGACCTGGATCACCTGCTTAAGCTGTTCTGCTGCTTATGGAAGAGTCAATTAGCAGAATTTCACCTCAGACAAATGAAGAGTTGCCACCACAGCTGACTGGTCATACTGATGCTCAATGTTCTTAATTTCAGCTTCCCTCCGGACTACAGAGTTATGACCGTCTGCACCAATCTGCGAAACAAAGAGAGACAAAGCAACCTCTTCAGCAGCTCCTAAGAAAACCAATATTCCAGTCTACAAACCTCAGCCTGCATGTTCATATTTTTTATTTATTCAGAAAAAAAAAAAAAAGGTTCCCCAAAACCCAGAAGATGTGGCCCCTTCTGCTCTTGTTCAATTCAGCAGCGTCTTCTTGCCTCAGGCACAGAAAAGGCTATGCACCATGTCCCTTAGCACCTCTGACAGAGTTAGCCACTCACCTCACTCAAGCCCTCCACGTGAGTGGAGCGGCACACACGGAATCAGAACCAAATCCAGTGGAAAGGACTTGGGTGAGCGATGACGCCTGATCAACAGAAATAAAAAGTTTAGTTACCAGCAGTTTGGTCTGAAGTCTGCGTCCATCAGGTAATTCAATTTGGACCCAAGGGCTTGTGTCACAGCTGTGAGAGGGAAGGGGCCAAGTATACCCGACTGCTCTGCTCCTGTAGAAAACCTCCACCCGGTCTGATGGGAACACAAAGTACTACGGTCACAGCACGATACAGGCATGAATAAAGGAAACATCACTACAACAGCAAGGGCCACGCATGCCTTAATGGCACCCTAAGATCGGACCCTACAATTTTCAAGGCACCCTGAAAGAACAGATCTGGCCAACCCTTCGTCACTGTGACGCCTGCTCTGGATAGAAAACTACAGATCTTCTTCTTACATCTAGTTTTGGAGAAACTATGTTCTGGAGAACTACATATGCAATTGTTTTCTTGCTGTGTAGTGTCTGGAAGACAGATTCTTCCCTCTTCCCCCCAGTTCAAGCAGCTGCCTATGCCTCAGAATTACTTGTTAGACAAATTATCTTTCTCCCTCTCATAACTTATCGCACACAACAGAAAGCAAGTAACTGAGAGCTCTCTGCAGGAAATAAAATATTAAAGAAGTTGTCCACTACCTGCTACTGCATCTAACTGTTTTGTGAGAGCAGACATAATGACATCATTCTCCACTATGTAACCCATGTCATCTAAGTCATCTTTCTCAAATACGATCATGGCTTCTGAACAAGCATCCCACACCTACAAAGAAAAAATACATTACATGAAGCTACATGACAAATAAGTGCTGTTCTTTTCAGGGACTATGAATGTATCCATCTTAACAGCAAAAGGACATGGCAATCTAGAAATACAGAACTAGAGGAAACGTCCTGCGCTACTGTCCATTCCCAGCTACTAAAGTACATCACATAATTCCTTTCATAAAATGATCTGGTTTAATCTCAAAAACTAATTGCAAAGAAAGCTTTTTATCCCTACTTTCCTGTTACATAGTTAACATATTAAGCTACCCTACCACTTTGTTGTGGGTTAACCTCAGCTGGCACCACCCAGGCACTCACTCACTCCCCTGGTAGGTAGGACGGGGGAGAGAATCGGAAGGGTGAAAGTGAGAAAACTCACAGGTTGAGATAAAGACAGTTTAATAGAGAAAGCAAAAGCTGCACGTGTAAGCAAAGCAAAACAAGGAATTCATTCCCTGCTTCCCATGGGCAGGGAGGTGTTCATCCATCACCAGGAAAGCAGGGCTCTATCATGCATAACGGTTACTTGGGAAGACAAACACCAAATGTCCCCCCCTTCCTTCTTCTTCCCCCAGCTTTTATTGCTAAGCATGATGTCATATGGTGTGGGATATCCCTTTGGTCAGCTGGGGTCAGCTGTCCCAGCTGTGTCCCTTCCCAGCTTCTCATGCTTCTCAGCCTACTCGCCGGCGAGGCTGTGTGAGAAGCAGAGGTGGCCTTGGCACTGCATGAGCACTGCTCAGCAACAGCTAATACATGCCTGCATTATCAACGGTTTCATCACAAATCCAAACCACAGCACCATACAAGTTACTATGAAGAAAATGAACTCAATCGCAGCCAAAACCAATACACACCTTTACCTTTATTTCCTGACTAGTGCCCATTGCCTCATTATCTACAGCTTCCATTAGGAACCAACCTTTCATCCTGTAACATCAAGACTCTGAGGACGGGTATTTCTGAGTAGACTGCTACCCCCAAAAAGTAACAGGAATCATCATAAGCATGACTTGCCCTTTGCCAAAGAAAAAGCCTTAGGATCATGAACATTAAGTACTACTGAGAATTCAAAGTAGACAGACACATGGTATATTTGCAGCCCTAAGTAAGGCACCTGCATTCGCCGGAACGGTTTGAGTCTCATGCTGCAGATATGATCCCAGGCACCAAAACCTAAAAGAAAAAAAGGGCACAAATGTATGGAGATGCAGGTTCACATGTGACATTGAGACCCAAACAAAACCGAAGCTCTCTCCACATTCTCCTCTTCCTCCCTCCCTCACTATCAATGCTGACACTCCGCTCCGCTTCCACCATCGCTAGGCAGGGCCAGGTCTGCCTCAGTACTTTCACAGCTTCAGCACCACATTATTTTACTGTTAACACAAGCCAGTAGAAAAGAAACAAGAGCTTTCCAGGAACGCTGTGACTTAACAGTCAACTCTCACTGTCCTATCACTGAGTAATGAAACAGACACAGAAATGCATGGCCATCATTGTTTAGAACATTTCCTTCCCCATAAGAATCAAGACTCAAATCTGTCTTTAAAATGAAAATTAATCAGGAGAAGTGAGTTACCAGACTACAGAGCACTAAGTACCTGCTTCTTTTGTAAACCGAACATTCCAGCTGCTATAGAGAGCACCATATAATCTTTCTCTAGCCTAACATCACAAATGTTTATATAACAAATCAGACCAAGATACCAGAATACAGATCCCTGTTATCAAGAGAAGCCTGATTTAATCACCACAATTCAGCATACAGAACACTAAGAGACAAAGGCAAATAATTCTGTTGAGTTTGGGATGAAGGCAACACATGCTCAGAGGGGGTTTTGTTTAAAAGAAATAAAACCAGCTCAAACATACTGTTAAAAATGTAAACACTAGAAACTATACTTACTGCTCAGGAGGGTTGCTGATCCTGGGGAGATGGAACTGACCCTGTTACTGTAACTGTCTGGCATGCAACCGTATTCTTTCCTAGGACCAGCCTCCAGCAAAGCAATCTTCTTATCGTGGAAGTGGATATCATGCCCTGAAATAAGCAAATATATGTTTGAGGTGAATTATGGTCGACTGATGAAAGTACGCAATACCCCACACACTGAAAACCTGAAGCTTTCGGGAAAACTCCCAGTTTTTTTAAGTTTTTGTGCAACCAGTGAGACAGACAGTGAGGGACACAAACCCCCTTCCACTCACAAAACACGGTGCGGGAGGCCCAAAAGCCTCCCAGGCCTCACATCACGGCGGCCAGGGGCAGGAGGAAGGGCCCGCC